TTTTGTCTTTGACCTTTTCAATGATAATTTTATTAACTTCGTGTTAAAGAAATCATGTGCTCACGGGCAAGAAATTAAACAGCCCAGAGGAGGTAAGATAAAAAGTAAAAGCTCCTATCCACCTAGTCCCAACCCCCAGAGGGCTCGTGCCGTTGAGTTTCTGGCACATCCTTTGGGAAAGATTCCCTCACGATGGTACTCCCACATCTGGTGCCATCCATCAAGAACTTCTTTGGGGAGCACTCGCATGCAATGCCTCGGTTGTCCTGACGGCCACCCCATCAGGTGTCGGTGGAGGCTCACTGTTTCATGGAGAGCTTAATAAGTGCCTTATGTCCCACAGCCAGGAAGTGGGGAACCGGCACATGACCCCAGGCCCGGTACTGGGGTCACTGTCATGCCCCCCGTGTCCCTGCAGATGCTGGCCCGCTTGCTGAAGAGCTCCCACCCCGAGGACCTCCGAGCAGCCAACAAACTCATCAAGGAGATGGTTCAGGAGGTGATCGCCAAGCCCGCGGTGCAGGGAGGAGGCAGAGTGGGGACTGGAGCGGGGCCGCCGAGGTGGGGTTGTGTGTACGCCTACGGGAACCCTGCGGCGACCCAGCCAGAGGGCTGTCACAGCCAAGAAAGAGCTGACAGATTGGGGGACCCCAGGGGACAGAGCCAGGACCGGTGTAGGGGGGAGAATGTCCCAGCAGCTGAGCTGACCTGCTCAGGTTGGGCTTCTGCGAGGCTGACTGCCTCTTCTGTGATAAGGAAATAGAAATCAGGCCTTGCTAAGTGAAACGTATGCATATGTGTTTACTTATCATAAAGAGGGAACGCTGCGCACTTAACATCCAAGCAAGTATGCGTATTTCGTGGGTACGGGCTGAAACTTTTTTATTTGATGAGGGTAGGCCATCAAAGCTTCAGCCTAGAGACCTACAGGGAGGAAGTCCTAGGCGGTGTTCTGAAGGGCAAGCTGCGTGTCCTCATAGCACAGGGAAAGTCAAGGGTGGCCGCTCTCGAGGAGGGTGATTGTGTCCCATGG